TTAGGTTGGCGAACTCAGGCTGCGTAATAAGGGTTAAAGCAGGAGCACAAGTCAGTTAGTGAATGAAATTGAGAAAGGTATAGTGGATGATGGAACATCACTAAACTAAATAGCCGTAATAGAAAGCGAAAATTATAGGACGAGACAATACAGCGGAATCAATCGCAAGAAGTTGTTTGTAAAATTCACGAAAGTCAGCAGATGATGAGGACTGAGAGTAAAAACGCTATGCAGCGTAGATGGGAATTTGTTGCAACAAAATTGCCAAGCTCAGAGAAAACAGTTCAACTGTCAAAAAGCAAAAGGAGTGAATGACTTTCAACTACTCACAAGTAAACAGAGAATATGAGGAAAATACCGGATATAACAGATAAACGGAACACCAGTGGTTATGGTACGAATTATGATCATGTCAACGAGAATAGTGAAGGAGAACCTTGTCATTGTTCATTGAGTGGTAGAGAACAGAAGGGAGGTCCCGTGTCAGCTCTTTCACTTCCTGATGTTCCAAGGATTGCAGGCGTAGTAGCCGTGGCATAGCTCAGGATCCTGGAGTTCTCAGTAGGACGATGTCTAGCAAACGTTTGAAACTCGCTCCTGACTGAGCATTGACAATCGGGTCCGGCAGTCGGTTACAGTCATTATTCGAGTAGAGAGAGCAACATCTGAGCGGACTTCGAACATCCTCGATTTAAACAGCTTTCAGCCGTGACTTCGAGTCGAACTGCCAAGTCAGCTGAAAAAACTGCCTCAGCCTGTTTCCCAGTTCTCCTCGAAGCATACGCCTAGTATAGAGGAGGTCTCCGCGACGTCGGCGACAGTCAAAGGGAAAAAGGTTCATCTTCTGTACTCGGGCGGGATACGGGAGTTCGCGTAGCCAAAGGACAAATTTCGAGGCTCGTCGCTGAACTTTTTCTATCTTGTCACTTTCATGCTTCGATAGAGGGGCTATGGCCGGATGTCCGAATTCAAGGATGGGACGGATGTGGGAGGTGAAGAGAAGTCCAAATATCTGCGGCGTCATTTTAGAGAATGATCGCCTTATGACGCCCCACATCCTGTTCACCGCAGCAATTTTCTTTAATATGTCACGGGTAGTTTTGAGATCAGAGGATACCATTATCCCCACCTCCTTTTCCTGTGTGGCAGTCTTGAGTAGGTGCGCGCCAATGTGATAGATGTCCAGTGGTTCAGCAACACCGATGGAAAGCACAGAGCGCTTATCTTTGTTGACCGGCAAACCCCACTTGATAGACCAAGCGTGTAGTAGATCAAGCGTTTCCTGTAATCGGTCGGCGTCTTCGAAGCTGGACACTTCCGACCATAGCTTTAGATCGTCTGTATAGATCAGACAGTCCGTCTGTAGCATACTTGGTAGGTCATTGATATATAGCTTGAATAATTCCGGTCAGAGAACGTAGCCTTGTGGTATGCCACTGGACATAGGCAATGGAAATGAAAAGGTATCGTTTACCTTGACTTGCATGTTCCGGCCTTGCAAGAAGTCACTGATCCATAATAGGAGGTTCTCTACTATGCCAATTCCGCAGAGCAAAAGCTTTGCTGATGTCGACGAAGACCACATCTAAACGTTTTCCAGCGTCCATTGACTTAGCCCACTTCTCTCTTGCGACCAGTGTTGCAGGAACGTCCCTTTCGGAAGCCATGCGGAGTAGACGAAGTGAAGTTCAGATCTTCGCAATGTTGGTGGATGGCACATTTAATGTGCTTTCCATGCTATTGCAGGTGACCTACATCAAGCAAATTGGCCGATAGTTCGCAGGGTCCTGGAGGTTTCCACCCTTGTATTTCGGCATAACTACACCCGTCTTCAAATCGACAGGTAGTCGACCAGCTTTAAGAGAGCTGAAAAATTTGACAACGTGGGACGGCAATGAATTCTGCTACCATCTTGAGAAAATGGAGGTGTAGCCTGTCTGGGCCTGGTGAGGAAGATGAGTTCAGTTCTAGTAGTAGCTTCAAGGTAGCATCTGCATCGATATCGATATGCCCCAGAGGTATTGTATGTGCAAGTACATGATTGTTTGCGAGTTTGTCTCCCTTCGTGTATACTGAGGAGAACTGTAGAGCCAAGAGGTCAGCTTTGACGTCATCATCATAGTGTATTATACCTGGCTCATTCGAAGACAATGAAGGAATTCCACAGCCGGCCTTGGAAGATCTGTTAAGGTATGAAAATAGTTTATTTGACCTAGAAAGGGATTGTTCAGGCAGGTTATGCTCGTATCATTGTCTCTTTTCACGTTTCTGCAGGGAGCAGAAGTTCCTGACGGCCTTGCATTCAGAGTAGTCTGAGTCTAAGCGGGAAAATTCGAATTTGTCCCATAGTTTTCGTCGTTGTTTCACGTTGGCCCTGAGTTCTCGGTCGATCCAGGGGGGCGCTTAGAGAAAGGCCTGTGACTGTGGAATGGGACGACCTCCTCAATGAGTAGCTTCAACTTGTAGGATAGATCGTTCCAAGTAGCATCGAGTTCCAAGTGTTGTGGAACATTCCAGTCCAGCGTACTCGCTGCCACCCTTAACTTGGATGCGTCGGTCCGCCAGAAGTTTCGACGGTGTGCGGTCCGGGCTGGGATAGCTAGACGTTTAGTCCATAAGAAGGAGATCGTACAATGGTCGCTTTTACCAATGGACTTTAGAAGGGTCAATACTGAGACATCAGACAGAGCCGGAGTGAGCACAAGATCAAGAGTGTGCGGAGTCTGGTGGGGAAGAAGCCGAGTGGGCGATGTTATATGCTGGGAGAGATTCGTTTTGAGGACAGTTACAAGGAGGCTAGCATCAAAGGACTCGGGTGGAAGGCGGCAGTGTAGTAGGTCCCAATTGACATCCGGGGCATTGAAGTCACCCACAATGAGACAATCTCTGCGGTTTCCACGCGATTTGATAAAGTCAAGCACAGAGGTGCCATGTCCCCACGGGGCTTTGTAGACAACACCAATCATAAGAGATTTGAAGCCATCATTGATCCTGCACCAGAGCAGCTCTGTGCCACCATCAGCGTCGCCGACAGGTTCTACGAGATGAACTTTAAGATCCTCTCTCCAGTAGAGAACTACGCTACCACCAGCTCTTGCTCCAGATCGGTCAGCACGGAAAAGTTGGTATCCTGAGATGTAGATCTCGGAGTCGGAGATATCTGAAGTGAGCCAGGACTCAGTGAAGGCCAACAGGTCAGGAAGCAGCTTTGAGGTAAGAGCTTGTACCTCGTCCATTTTACTTCGGAGGCTGCAAACGTTTGCAATTATCAACTGTAGTCCATTCTTCGTCCTTGTTTTTGAGTCCCGGGGAAGACGAACAGTGGCTTCCAGCGGGACCTCTGTACTTTTTGCACTACCTGAAAATCCACTATGTGCAAGTTAGTCTCGCCATTTGCTCTACGGGTCCGTAGTTCGTTAACTGCGTTCCTCATTTTGGTTCGATCTTCTGATGAGAGATCTCTAAGAACATAGAATTTTTCTCCCTTGAGATGTGAGGTCCATCCGAGGATACGAAGCAGAATATGGAAACTGATAAAACTAGCCGAAAAAATGGCTTACAGTAAGCAGATATGAATGGGAATCAAGCATAGGCAAGTTTCATTGCAGGAAGAAAACGAACGTGCGTAAGTGGGACGTCACTATTCAGAGTTCGGGAGTCAGGCTTCTGGAGGGTTCCAGAAGAGAACGACAGCGTGCCAAGGAAAGTACAATGCCGCAAAATAAAACAGTAAACAATGAAAAGCAAACATACAAAGAAACACAAAGCTTCCGGTGAAGATCTACACACCGTTCGAGTCAGCACAGAAACGCCATTAAACTAGGCTTAGTTCGTAGGCAAGTTAACAGAGTTGGAAGAGAAATCGTTGAGAAAGCCGCAACACGTTTCGTAGTCAGGGAAAATAGTAGCTATAACTTATAAGGTGACAAATGGTTGAAGGAAATATCTAAATGAAAAGGTGTAAGAAACCATAAAGGACACAACAAAAATCTTGTCTGAGCCCACCGCCAAAACATACTATTTGCATTTATCCATCCTGAGCAAGATGTATAGTAGATTCCGTCTCTAATTTCTAACAGTTTGAAGGAAAATGGACAAAATATAGCCAAGCAAGAGCACGTGTCGATATCTAGCTAAACACATAAAGGAATCTCTCCACCGATGCGATACTGTGGAGAATATTTGCAAACAATGGAAAACCGTCGCCAGACCGAACGAACGACCGACCGGCTACCAGACAAATAACAGTCACACACCCATCGTTGCTGATGCAGCTGATAAGGCAGGCGAAGCGATCACCAACCTATTCCTAAATTTGCAGTCCCCTATATAACGGCGTGTTTGACACCAGTGTAGATAGAAGGAAGTCGGAAAAGCGATATCTCGATGTGACTACGTGTGCAGTCTAGATAGTTGTAGAATGTTAACGCGCTAATTCCAGTGTGACCGTCCAATGGGAGGGCAAGATAATGCCAGCCTGATTGTCGCTTTTCAGGTCTATGCGAATGAATGACATTAAAATAGTGCAACTTATCGGTAGCGTTGCGGCGTAGTGTGCGCTAGTAAGTTGACGTCGGGGTGTTTGCTGAGACAGTCCTTGGTGCTTCGTTAACCGTTCTTAACAAGTCAACGCCAATTAAATCCTAAGGAGGACGGGTAATAGCTGTGAAACTCGCATGAAACCTATGTATCATCGTTTTTGTGAAAGGGATAGAAAGCTCCCATTTCACATACATTGGATGACAAGCTGCAGCATTCAGCGCTGAACTACTTCGAGTGATAAGGGACATTGCACTATCCGCACTTTTGCCTGGGCATACATGCAGTCCTATAGAAGGTCTGTCTCCGTCTATACATGATTTGTCAGCCGGAAGACGACAAGTGGGAAATATGGCTCCGGATAAAACTACATATACTGTGGAACCACTGCTTTAGTAAATAAAACGGTAAGCAGAGCACATCTTGCTAACGAAAGTCAAAGGAGATCGAGTGAAACTGACCGAGAGAATTCAAAGTGATGAGTGCCTCGAGGCAAATACTCGGTATCATACAACGCAGTAACTGCGTTGTGTCCAGTGATTGCAACCAGTCCAAAATCATTCGAGCCTCATCCACTGCGTGTTGTGCGACTGAAATCAGCAGGATGCATATTTTCGGAGTTACCAAGAGAAAAACACATGCAAGAAAACAAAAACAAAGTGAAAACAAATGTGAGTTGAGATAGTAAATCTGGTAGACAGTATGATATCCAATAAACTCAAGTAGGGAGATGAATAAGGAAACACAACATTGGATGAAACTGAGGTAATTGTTTGAGTATGTGACTGAACCTGATGAGGAGATTAAGTACCGGACACAGTTCAATCTGCCAACGGGGAAGGATGAGTACCAAAGGGAACAAGAGTTGAAGGATTCGGTAGTACCAGAGGTGCAAGTCGGTTAAAGTTATCGGAACGGCTGCAGCGTGGCTTGCGATGGCGTTCTCGGAAGAAATCAATTCAATGTACACAGCCACAACAAATGGAGATTTTCCCACAGCAATGAACTGTCAGTATATAGATATGCAACCAAACAGTGACAGGGTGGTCCGTGGAAATCGTAACCAGCCCAAGTGGCGCACTAAATCTGATATGAAGGAAAACTCAAGCATGGTGTCACGAAAATCTTCATGTGAAAACATATAGCAACGCAAAGTAAGTTGTCCAACTACGAACAAATCAAGTTATACACGTGGATAAATAAGGTTAGCTTGAGGTTATGCAGAGCATTTGAAACTGATAAATACCTGATCTAGAGACGACATCAAGATCCTGGGGTGCCGTGGACCATTGCTGTGTTCGTGCTGACAAGGAGTTACATCACACCAAAGGGTCGCTGGTTTGATCGCCAGTAAACATCTGATTCCGCACTGCAAGTGTTACTCGCAAAGGAGAATCTTTACACACAGTCCGGATAAACTACAGCATGCCTGCATTACTGGTTAGTTACACACCGTTGTAAAGAATTTATGGTTACGTGGCCACGAAACATCACTGCAACGCAATGATGGGCTGAGTTGCTGGTGACCGAGTTCTCTAAGCCACATCCTATCACATGAATAATCAGCCAATTTACTTCTTCATTTGTTTGACTGCATTAAGCATGGTAACGAATCCTCGCGTCTAATCCTTAACAATACACCAACCTAAGTGAAATATATATGTACGGTTTATCTATAGTTCGAGTAAAACGGATGAGTGAAAAACGAACTCGATGAGGTATAGTTACCTGTTTTCGACGGTGTAGGTGAGGACTCTGTCGTCGAGGGGAGTTGTTCAAAAGCATCGAAGAACATATCACATGGATCTTCAGGAACACGGCTTTTGGTTGCCTCAGAATCGCTATTGTACTCTGAGCATAAACGGGCTAAAATTTCAACCAATAAAACGAAATATTGATGAGTTACGAAAGCGATAAGAGAGTAAAACGCGGTGCATTCCGCGAAACATATAGCCTAAAAGAGGTCGGCAGATAAACTATAAGTAGGACATTTGGTGTTGAAATGCTTTGTACCACAGAGTCAATGAACCACAAGTAAGCATCGTATCAAACACACCGGCAACTGGACATCTGATGAAATGGTATTATTCCGGGGAACAGATTTCTGGAAAGACAACAATACCCTAGCATCCGAACACTTAGGTTGGGCAAGTGGGCACAAGAGACCACAGCACACATGTGCGAATTTGCTGCAACAACCGAATTGACTGCAATTGGGAACTATTACAGTGTCTAACTGAGACAAGGTTATCTAGCGAACTTACCTAAGCTGAGACAACTTTAATATTCACCTGTTGACTGATTCGTCCAGCTTGAGACAATGGTTAAAAACAATAATGGAGAAAAGTTAGCTGCTGCAGTGTAGAGTTGAAGATCCGACCCCAGCTACCAGTGTTTCAAATTATTTTCAATACTTACAGGCGCGAAACACTCTCTCGCCGTCTCGTTTTGCTGCAATCATATACACCGCAGCAGTTAACCTTCCGCCATGATTGCTGACAATCATTATCTCAGGCTTGGAAAACCAATCAACAGTTGTATAACCAACCTAGACGACCAGTGTTTTAAATTATTACGACTATCTTGAATGCGTCCATTTAAAAAGAACGATGAGAAAACTAGAGATGGCAGTTGCAGGCATTTCATCCGTGACGATCCTCACAATGACAAACGCACTCCGGCGCCACTTGACTAGTTGGTAGCTAAGAGTCTTTCTCCAACGTGACAGCCGGTCAGTCAGCTTATCGATAAGCTAGATAACATAAACTAATTGGATAATGCTATGCAATTCCGGGATATGGAATCATTGTCTACCAACAGGTCGCCAGAAGAGATCAGCTCATCCGTGGCCAACAATAAAACAAAGTAATAAAATATGGAAAATTAGAAAGTGCAGCTGTACCCAGTGAAGGTGCGGATTTTTGGATCACTGTGTGCTGGATAGTACTTCTGCCTCGGATTACTGTGTTATCAGTTTTTGCTGTGTAAATTGTCCACCAAGCTTCATTCTTTGGCGTATTTTCCAACCGGTGCAAAGTTAGTGGCTATTATTTGGCTAATTCCGGAGATCTCATTGATTTGCCCTGTTGCCATCTCTGTCCGCCACCTTAGATTTGCTCTACCTTGTGATGTCGTCTCAAGCTACTTGTGGTTCGTGTTCGGAAGTTGTGGGAAATAAGGCTCATGCACTTTGGTGCTTCGGCTGCGATGTTTTGTTCCATATTTCGTGCAGTGACTTATCCGATGCCGTGTTTCGAAAATCTGTCGACATCCGGCATCGGTTTTTTCAAGTTATATGTAATAAATGTCGAGGTGCAAGATATTAGCATACACAGCGACCGAAAAAACTACGGGAAAATCTCTCTTTCAGAGAGAAACGAACCGTTCACCACGTGAGGTCAAACGTCTTCGTGAAAGTACCTCTGTCAACTCACCTTCTCTTGTGACTCCACGATCTGCACCACCAGCGTCTTCGACCCTAGCCGAGCCTCAGGTCCCATGTTCCCCACCGATGGAAGACTCAGAACCTACGAAATGCCGCTTCACTGATCGGTCCGTGGATTTCTCAGAGCCTGTCTGTGAATTTCTGCACACTGAGGATCCATGGACTACTTAAAAGCGCAAGGGGCTACGTAATCCGGTTCAGGCAACCCCTGCTGACAAACAACCCAATCAGATAAACGCCTACAGTTCTGCTCCCACAGATTCATCACCGATTTCGCTGAGGCGTCATAATCTCATGGTCTTTCACGTACCAGAGTCAAAAGATGAAAACCCTCAGATACGTTATGATCACGATGTTGAGTTCCTCCAGGGGCTCGTCGATAGACTCTTGGATGTGGGCGTGGACAGTGTGACGATTAAACAAGTAATCCGACTTGGCCAGAAAACTAGCCAGTTATGTCGACCTCTGAGAATCACCTTTGCAAATCCCAATATGCCGCAGCTCATACTGTCTCGTCTGTCAACGCTGAAGGCCATAAAAGTTCACATCCGATGAGACTTGGAACCCGAAGACAGGGATCGTTTAAAGACTGCGGTCATCGAGCTCAAACGCCGTACAGAAGAAGGTGAGATTGACTTACAAATTGTAAATTTTCGGGTGATCAAGAAGGGTGTATGAACCCGTATCAACCGGTTGCTCAACCTCCAGACACGTCCGGCAGTACCTTCCAGGACCTCCGTGTGGCATTTGACGTGTGCAGTCTAATGAACAAAGGTGACGAACTGTGGCGCCTCGCTGTCTCGGAGCGGCCGTACGTTTTAGGACTAGCAGACCCTTGGTTGAACGTCGACGTCATACGCCAAGAAGTCGAGTTGTCAGGATACTCTTGTTTCCGATGCGACCGAAAACCAAAGGCTCACGGTTGTGTGCTGTTGTACATAAAATCGTCACTATTTGGCAAACTTACAAGCACCTATCGGAGCGAGGATAAGTTATACGAGCAATTGTGGTGCACAATCCGCCTCAGAGGAGCAGAACTAATAGTGGGTGTTATCCACCGTAGCCCATTAAACCGTTGTTGTGATTGGCTACCATATGTACAGAAGCACATGAGCCGCCCTCAGGTCTTACTGATGTGGGATCTAAATGAACCTAAGATATTCTGGCCAGACGTTCGGCTTCTTCCCGGTAATGGCGACGTTGAGGCTCAATTCGCTAAAATGACTATTGAAATCGGGGCAGCGCAACATGTCATCCAACCAATGCCCGTAACTCCGCACTCGGCATCTTGTCTGGACCTAATGTTTACGAGCTGCGAGCAGAAGCTGAACGAGATCAGTGTCCTCGAACCTCTGGCGAACAGTGACCACTGCTTCATTGTGGCAACCATAGAACTGTCGTTACCGTGTTAGAACCAAATGGAAGCTGACATTCAACTATTGGAAGACGGACTTCAACAGGCTCGTCTAAGCCGCAAGTCAGCCTGATTGGACACAGGATACGTCGCCAGAGGCCCGTTAGTCATTAATGAAGGGGAAGCTTAACTCGCTGTGTACTCGGTTCGTTCCCCTTAAGGATTCAAAAATCGGACCTGTCAAAGAGCATTGGTTGGATACGGAATACAGAAAGTTAGCGCGACGGCGTCGTAAAGTTTGGGATAGATATATCAGCCCGGGTTGTGATGAAGATTGCACGGTGTACAAGAAACAGCGTAACTTATGTAACGCCGCAAGCATCCGCGGCCACAACTTCAGCCAAAAGAATATCTGCCTACTTGAAACGTCAACTGAAACCTGGGGGCGACCTACCGGTATTAGAGAACTTGGACGGACAGGCGCTCATTTCAAGCGCACAGCGCGCGGACGCCTTGCCTACGCACTACCTCACCGTATTTTCCAGTAAACCGGCGGCTATTCCAGTACCGGCACAGGTTGCGCCAGTCTTGCTTGACAGCCTACAATGTGATGCAGTCGAAGTGTGTTAGCTACTCGTCAACCTCGACGGTGCAAAGCCCCCGGACCAGACGGACTTCAACCACTAATACTCAAATCCTTATCGATTACTATCGCACCAGCCGTGACAAAGCTATTCAATAAATCACTCTCTGAAGGATCTATCCCCAACGACTGGAAATGCTCGAGAGAGACCGCTTCCCAAGGGTGGTGATCCGAGTAAAATTGAGAACTATAGACCGATTTGTTTGACTTCGATATTATCCAAAGTTATCGAGAAGGTTGTGAAGAGGTGTATACTGTCGTTCTTCAAATCGATGGGCGTATTGACACTAGTGCAACAAGGCTTTACGAAAGAGCGATCCAGCATCACCAACTTGATGTACGCAAACCACCAGTGGGTACGAGGTCTCAATGAACAGAAGGATGTTGACGTGGTGTAAATCGATTTTAGTAAGACGTCTGACAGAGTGAACCACGAGGTACTCCTTCGTAAACTGAGGACATACGAAAACAGTGGCCCGCTACTTGAGTGGGTTACACGAGTTCATTGTGGGACGAAAGTTTAGAGTACAGGTCAATGACTACCTGACAGAATGGTTTCCATCAACCAGTGGCGTGTCTCAAGGAACTGTACTTGGGCCAGTAATATTTATTATTCATATCAACGATCTTCCGCAGCAGCTCCAGTCACCACGTGCCCTGTTTGCAGATGATTTGAAAATCTGGAGGATTGTTGAGAACCAGGACGACTGGGCTAGCCTTCAGCATGACTTAAAGCGACTGTCAACATGGTCCACTGAAATGCAACTCCCTCTTAGCGCAAGCAAGTCGGAGTTCATCAGTATCACCAGACGTCCAGCCACTCGATCATACACCTTGGACGGCCAGTTGCTCCACCCTAACACATCTGTCAGAGACTTAGGAGTGCTCTCGCGACATGATATGAGATCACTAGAAAATACAGAGAAATTGTACCGTGCGCGACTTCGTATGCTCTGGGCATTAAGACGTAGTTTCTCCACATGGTCCGAAGAAACCGTCCCTCATCTATTCACCTCGCTCATTAGACCAATCCTTGAATACGGTGCCCCAGCTTACCATCTGATAACCCAATGGGAAACAGAAAAGCTGGAGAAAATACAGCATATCGCAACTAGAATGATACCGAGTCTAGGAAAGTTTCCGTATGAAAAACGTTGTCAAAGGCTCGGACTCTACACACTATCCTATTGCCGAGTAAGAATTGACCTTATTATGACCCATCGAGTACTACACTTGAATCACTTCCCCATACTGCGGCCGATATTTCACCTGCGGGAACCCTGTAACACCCGAGGACACCGTCACAAACTCAGGGTCCCCTACATGAAAAAGTATCACATCAGCTTTGTATAGAACAAAGAATCGTAAACTTATGGAATACACTACCAGAAGGGTTAATAGAGGTGATTCTGTGAAGTGTATTA